GTTTAAACACTACAGTAAGCAGTATGGAGTACATCTCAACATAAAGAAAACAAAAATCCTCACAACTGGACCTATATACGGCATCACAATAAATGGAGAAAAGACTGAAGTGTAATAAAGATTTTTATACTACTTGGTTCCACAATCAACATCAATGGAAGCAGCAGTCAAGATACCAGATGACATATCACACTGGGCAAATCCACTGCAAAAGACGTCTTTCAAGTGCTGAAGAACAAAGATGTCTCCTTGAAGACTAAGGTGCAGCTAACCCAAGCCACGGTATTTTCAATTGCCTAATATGCATGTGAGAGCTGGACAACAAACAAGGATGACTGAAGAAGAGTTAATGCTTCAAGTTCTGGTGTTGGTGAAGAATACTGAAAGTACCATGGACTGCCAAAAGGACAAACAAATCTATGCTGGAAGAGGTATAATGCTCCTTGGAAGAGAGAATTAGAATTCCCAGACTTCATCTGACCTACTTTGGTCATGTTGTCAGAAGGGACCATTCCCTGGAGAAGGGTATCATGCTTGGTAAAGTGGAGGGTCAGCAAAAAATGGGAAGGCCCTCAATGAGATGGACAGACACAGTGGCTGCAGGGTGTAGCCAGGATTGTGAGGCTGGCACAGGATGGGGCAATGTTTCGCACTGCTGCTCATCTGGTCACTATGAGCCAGAGCCTACTCAACAGCACCTAACAACATGGGGCAGAATATTGAACGACACAGGATGCATTAAAAGAATATGGAAAGAATACAGTCACTGAACCAAAAAGAACTGACCAATGTTCAATCATTTAGGGGCTCTGGTAGCATAGTGGCTAAGGCACTTGACTGCTAACCAGAAGGCTGGCGGTTCAAACCCACCAGCCACTCCTCGGAAGGAAGGTTGGTCAATCTACTTCCGTAGTGATACTGCCTCGGAAACCCAAGGAGGGGTCACTATGAGTCGGGGCCGACTCAACGGCACATAACAACAACAACATATGATCAAGAACCAATGATACTGAAGAAGACATCCAAGTTGCACTGAAGGTACTGTTATAAAAAAACACTTGGTGCTCACTTCAGTAGCACGTATACTAAAAGCTGCATGATGATATTTGGCTGGCAGTGGTTAATACGTAGACATGAAGCTTGCAAGAATTTTTTATATTGTTATTGTTACATAGAAATCGAGTGGTATCTGTAATGAAGTACCACTGGAACTTAGATCAGTAATAATAACAGCAAAATTAATAATAACTGGTCATACATTAGTGTGCCTTTATTGCAGATGTGCAAAGGAATTTTACTTGTTAAAACAAATTTAGAAATGGCTAGTTACTGTCCAAGGGACTGGTACACCATGCAATCCTCGGCCTATATGACTATGAGACCAGAAGAAGAAGATGGTGCCTGGCTACCACTGTCAACCACTTAAAGGGGGACCTATGTAGGAGATCCTGGATAGAGAGGGAGAACAATGTGAAATAAAACTCAGAATCATTTTTTAAAAAAAAAAAGACGAGGTATGCTGGTCTGACAGAGCCTGGTGGAACCCCTGAGACTATGGTCCCTAGCTGCCCTTCAAGTCTGGAATTGAACCCACTCCTGTGGCTTCCAGCCAAAAAAAAGACAGGCATAGGAGCTAAACATTTATATTAGATAGATACACTCCTTACAGAGATCAATTATGGGAGAACAGAAGTGTTGTGTATGCACAGGGAGACCACTTGGGGCAGGAGTACATGGGAGGAAAGGACACAGAGAAGAGGTAGCTATGGGGAGGAAGTGGGAGGAGAACTGTTGCACTGTGGGAGATATTACAGTCCATTCATAAGACCAAGTGTGAACTGCTGTATAAAAGATGAATTTTCACAATGAAATTAAAAAAAGTACACTGTTCCTATGAAACCTTTCATAAGCTGAAATGGCATAAAGTGAAGCAGCAATTACCATTTATATGGAAAATTTTCTGAGCATTTCCAGATCCAAAATTAACCTACCAATCAGACCATTACACATAAAACCTAAAATAACACTAATATATAATGTTCGCAGGCACAGTTCAAAGCTATGGCAGCTTGATGCTGAGATGCTGAGCACAGTTCTAGGGAAGGACTTGGCTCTGCGTACACACTGCCACTTTAATGCTCATTGCAGAACAAACTCTGAATGGTAGTTTTGCTTTTCACCTTTTTTCTCAAAAGCAAAATTTCTCTTCTGATTTCTTTTTGTTAGAGAAGACACGTACTAATACAGGTCTTTTATACAAGCAAAGTGTCATAAAGCAAATTTCCAAGAAGTGGGGGATACTAGTATTTAAGTTTAACCATTTTGTAATTGTGGGTTTTTTTTAAATTATTCTTTATTTCACTTAAGAATACTCTGGCATCAGGGAAAATGCAACTTTTCTAGTCTGTCACAAAATGAGAATGTTATTAAAGAAAAGTACCATCTTTGCCTTATGATCTTCCTATTCTTATTTTTCACCTTTAGATTTCCAAGTAAATATTCTAAAGAAGTTAATCCCCGTAGGTACTTTGCTTGCATTGGGTAAGCTCTCACCAGATACTAATGAATTATGATACACACTAGCTGATCAGTGGCACAAATTCTGTCTGCTCAGAGAGTCAATTCACTAGGTCCTGAATATCCCTGCCCACTGCTGCAGAAATGCAAGGTCCTGATTAGTCTTCACCCACGCTACTTCTCAGGCCTGTGTTTGCAGTGAGCAACCTTGAGGGATAAGGTAATACCTTCCTCACAAATGATCTTTAATTATTTGTTGTCACTAGAATAAACTTTTGAAAAACTTGCATATTTCATATATATGCATAAAATATCCCCACAAGAATGCACAAAGGTCTGTTATTATGAAATGGCTCTGTAGAAGAAAACTAGATACCTAGCAAGATAGAGAGGAAGGAGACTCTGTACAGAACAAATAGCCTTTGGAATGTTTTATATTTTGAACAATCTGAATTAATTTTCTATCATAAATTTTTAAATTAAAAAAATTCAATGAACTTAAAGTGCTGATAAGATGCTAATCTAAGAACCTTCAACTGTGCTAAAGTTAGATTTGAAAAAGAAAAATTAAGTAACATAACCTCACGATTTTATTGTCTTGATAATTTAACAAAATGATGCTTAGAACTGGATCATTTGGTCCTTTATCTTATCTCCTCCCAGTTCAAAATGCTTGCATCTCTTAATAACTCACATTCTCTTAGATCTGCAGTTGGGCTCAACACATTCAAGCCTCAACACAATATTCTTTGTAGTTTTTGGCTTCTTCTGGAAAATCAGCTTAGTCTCCCCACCATATCCACCCTCTGCTTCTTGTCATACCACCACTTTCCCTGGGCATAAAGAAAATCTTTGACCTTCTTATATGATGTCACTTAATCGGACTGATACTTGCCATGCTTCTTACAGAACAGTTTGGCAGGTTTTAAAAACATTCCCCACATTTGTGTGAGTACTATGGGCATGAAAAGCAACAGATAAGGTACTTTTTGAAACAAAATTTTAAGTGTATTCCCAAGAAAGAATTCTCAAATACCAGAAATAAAAGAACTACAGGCCAGAACTTGGCAAACACACAACTAACGCTACAATTCTTGATGTGATTGTGGAGAGGGCACTTCAATGGAGAAGGCATTGTCCACAGTAACCTAGAGGGGCTCCAGCATCCACAAGAGAGACAGCCATAGTACTGCATGAACAGGAGACCCTCAAGGCATTCTCTCTCAAATAAACTTCTTCCAAAGGGCTATAAATTCAATGGAAGGACGAAAAAACAAAATAAAATCCACACTGCACAGGGAAATCGTGACACTAAAGTTCATCTGTCTCTGGATAGTCACAGAATACTTACGCTGATAATAACCTAAAACTTGTGGCCCTATACAGTATTAGAGATATTACTACAACAACCACTTCTCAGAACAAAGTAAATCAATAATTTTGGTTGATTTAAGTTCTTACACAAAGGGGAAATTGTGAATGCAAACTAGAATCCAACGTTGCTTGCCAAAATGAAGAGGACTTGAAACATGTACTGATAAAGTTAAAAGGCCTGAACATGAGGAAAACAAAAATCCTCCCAATTGGACTGAAAAACATCATGGTAAGTGGAGAAAAAACTAAGTTTTCAATGCTATCATTCCACCTGGATCAACAATCAACATCCATGGAAGCAGCAGCTAAGAAATCAAAAGACATACTGCTTGGGCCAACAGGCTACAAAAGACCTCCTTAAATTAGTATTAAAAAGTGTTAAAAATTAGGTTAAAAAGATGTCACTTTGATGATGAAGATGCACTTGATCCAAGCTATGCTACCTGTCACACTGACAAAGAATACCAAGTATACTGTGGACTGACAAAAGAATGAACAGATCAGTTTTAGAAGAAATACAACCAGAATGCTCCTTAGATGTAAAGATGGCAAGGCTTCAGATCACTTACTTTGAACACATCATCAAGAAAGACTAATTGCTAGAAAAGGACAACCTGGGTTGTTAGATGGTCAACAAAAACACAGAAAGCCCTCAATTAAATGGATTGATACAAGAGCCGGAACAACAGATTGAAACATAATGATCATGAAGCTGACACAGAACTGGGCAATGTTTCACCCTGTTATACATCAAGGTCACTGTGAGTCAGAGCCAACTTGATGGCAACTAACAACATTTAACATTTCACAGCCACCAGAAAAATATTAAGTGCAAAAATAAGATGAGACTAAAACAAGATCTCACAAATCAACTGAAAAACTAATTAAAAAATAAAATTTTCTTACCCTACAAAATTACTTTGATTTGGTTAAAGAGAATTACAAAGAACTGAAATCCTCACGTGTTTTATGAACAATACCTGTAATACTTATGCTTTGGATACTATATGCCAAAAAAAAAGGTTATAACAACTATTAAAATGCATATAATGTGGCATATAAAACAAATGGCTCTAATCTAACTTTACTTCTCTTACATTGAAGGTTACCTTATGATCTGTGAGGGTGTCCTGCTAAGGTTTTTGTGCTCATTGGAGGATTTCTGAGACTGTGACCCCGAAGAATGACTAGTGAACGCATGTTGTCTTATTCCCGAAGGATGCTGTAGTCGAGGAGGTAGTGCTGATGGAGCTTTTATTGGCTTGCTCAGATTCTTTGGCCCTCTGTAATCCATGTCTGTGACAAGAACCCAAAAATACCTCATCATTTTCCTATTATGAACAACCCCAAGTGCCATCACCCTTCCCATCAAAGAAATGGTAACTTGATGTGCTTCTACCAGAATGGAAATTTTGTCCAGAAGTGGAAGGTTTTTTTATCTTCTTCCCTGACACTGTGTTCCAGCTTTCTGGGGGAGGTGGCTTGAGGTTCTTCAATGAGTGTCTTCAAAAGAAAAAAAAAACTTGTAATGACTTAGATTACACTAAAAGTATCTATTTAAACAAATATTTGCGCAAGTATCTTATTTTCAACTTATATAAGCTAAGAATTTCCAATTTTAGTCATTATAGTGAAAACAAATTAGAATTTAAGTACAAGTAGCATTTAGCAATTTAGACATAATTCTAATCAAATAAGATGATATCATTCAAGATACTTTTTAATTTAAGAAGACAAAAAACTAAAAAATGTATAAAAGTATAAATTAGATAACAAATTACTATTATTGTTATATATGACACAGTACTATAGTTATGGTGGTGGGGGTTACTTATTGTTAGAGGTACATATAAGCATCTACGCAGAAATGGTGTGATGTCTGGGATGTGCTGTAAAATATTTCAGGCCCACGTCAATTAAAAAAGTTTTTTATAATGTGTTAGGGGAAAATAGATCAGAAAAGACTGCTAAATTCCGTTAGTTGCTGAAATTGGGTGATAGTTATATTGGGGTTCACTATACTATTTCCCATGAGCTCTGGTGGCATAGTGCCTAAGGCATTTGACTGCTAACCAGAAGGCTGGAGGTTTAAACCCACCAGCCACTCCTCAGAAGACTGGGCAATCTACTTCCGTAGAGATATCACCTCGAAAACCCAAGGAGGGGTCGCTATGAGTCAGAACAGACACCAAGGCAGTGAGTTTTTTTTTTTTTTTTTTTTTTTTAAAGTACTATTTCCCTTTATTTGTATATACTTGAAATTTTCCATAACAAAGTTTTTAAGGTCTGGATTCATAAACTTTTTCTTTACGAAGCCAGCAACTGAAACACTATGTAATAGCAAGCCAACAATATTTTACTACAAGATCTGACACTTACTGTACTACTGTTGTTAGTTGCCTCTGAGTTAATTCCAACTCACAGCAACCCTATGTGTGCAAAGTAGAACTGTCCATACAGTTTCCAAGGATATGACCTTTCGGAAGCAGATCTCCAGCCTGTCTTCAAAAAGCCTCTGGGTGAGTTAGAGCTCGCAACCTTTTGGTTTGTAGTAAAGAGTTTAACCATTTGTGCCACCCAGGGTTTCCCACTATTAACCCATGCACTACAGCACTAAATGAAATCAGAAATACTAAATGAAATCAGAAATGAATACAGTTCCTGCTCTCAAAAGCTCCCACTGTACCACTGTATAATTACAATCTAGCCAATGTCCCTAACTTCCTTTGTGAAGAACAGGACATTCAAACTATAAGCAATAAAGTAAGTTTTGTTTTTGGTAAATTTAAAATCTGCCAAGTAAATAAGACCTCAATTCAAACTATTTTTTCTAAAGATTTGAACAAATACATTTTCTACACATAGGCAATATCATTCACTGAATTTGCAAATACATGGGAACATATAGAGATTCTCATGATTACATTAAGTTACATAAAAGAGTCAGTAAACGCCTTAGTTGAAGAGCAGTACATACTTCTTTCCTAGTTCGTCAACCAAAACTGGTCCATTCTCAGAGTGAACCCCTTGAACGTCTGCATTAGAAAAATTTCCACTGTGATCTAACCTAACCTGTAGAACAATTCCAAAAAAAGAAAATCAGGCACTCACTTCCTCTGCATTAATCTTCAGTTTTTAAATTTAAACTTTTATTTTGTTTTCAACTAAAGAAAATGAATGTACATAGGGAAGAACAAAACTACATTCAAAAGTATATACAATAAAATCCATTTCCGAGCTCCCAGACCATTCCCTAAAAGAAAGTTTCTTATTTATCTTTCCATATTTTTTCTACATTGTTTTTCTAAAGAGTTCAAGCAGAAGTGAGAATATCATCTATGATGTTTCATGTTTCCAAATGAGAGGCAGTATGCCCTGGTTTGAATGTAGGATTCCAAATCTGGCTTTTCCACTTACAAACAATATGACCTTGGCCAAGTTACCCAGCACATTTTCATTTCCTCACATGCAAAATGTGGCTAATAACAGTACATCATAGGACTCATGGAGATGGAATGAGAATGCATATGAAGTACATAAAGGACACCAACTTACACATGGCAATTTTCTACAAATGAGTGCAACTGTTATTAAATTACCATTAAGTTTGTTTTCCAGAGAACTGAGTATTAATGTAACAGTGACCTTTTTCTCCTTAAAAATAGATCCATTTTCTCTTGTCTAACATCCAATTGGTATTGTGACAAAAGAATAAGGCCTTTGGGTTTCCTCTTATATTCAAACCAAATACATTAAATAACACACCTGACAATCAACACACTAGGAACACAATGTATGTGCCACTACCTTAAGCAACCTCCTACTTATTAGTAGATAAAAGTCCTCAAGTTGAAATCATTCATCAATCACAAAAGGACACTTTGCCTCCTCCCTTTAAGAGTTTAACAATATACAAGATTTTTCAGGAATTAATTTTAAACTGCATCATACACATACATCTTTATTTGAATGAACACAACTTACATTTGCATCATGTTTCTGTAATTAAAATTTCATCTAAGTGAAATGGACAAATATCACATAGAAACAAAATATTCTAAAGAGAAAAAAACTAAAACAGGTATCTGCTCCCTATCATCTATTTGATCAACAGCCATCTATATTACTGCAATTTTAACCTCAAAGGAAATATGCTTAATTTAAAATAATGAATAATTTGATGATAGTCTAAGATAAGCAATCTTCTCTTTTTTGTTAAATGGGTGGAGGGCTTTAAGCTCTTAATTTATTCTACTTTTTTCTCTTCCAAGTTTTCCAATTAATTGTAATAAAAGCTGTCACAACTCAGTTCTATTATAACATATTTCTAACAGTACTATAACGAAGGGCCCAAATGAATTAAATCCTCTTCTCCTTTTAAATACCTCAGAACCAGAATATTATTAAAAGTTCTTAAAATAACACTTGTCATTGATGTTACAGATATAATCCCGGTCACACACTTTTCACAAACTAATTTATCATAAAGTAAATGAGTATTTCTCTTTAAGTCAAGAAGAAATGTTCATCAATGATTATTTTAAAGTAGATTCAATAATACATTTCAATGAAAAGCATTTTTGATGAAAAGTATCTTACATATAAATTTTGTTTTGTTTGTTTTCAAATAGTAGTATTTTTTCAGAAACAAAGAACAAAAAGGAACCTTGGAAATTCTCCAATCTAGGATTTCTCCAACTATTGATAATTTGAACCAGTTAATTTTTTTTCGTGGTAGGGGGTTATCGCATGCACTACAGGATGTTCAGCAACATCCCTGACTCATACCCACTAGATGTCAGTAACACCACCCAACTGTGACAACCAAATACATCTCCATACATTGACTGCCAAATGTTCCCAAAGAGGCAAAATCACCCCAGGCTTAGAATCACCACTTTAATCCAACCTTCCCCTTTCACAATGAGAGACATAGCTTATTCAAAGTAAATGGCAAAACTTGTCTTATGATTCACTCTCCTTTTCCTCAATTCAACAGAAAAAAAAAAAAAAAAAAGACATGTGAAAAGATGACAAAGCAAAGCGACCTAAAAAGTCAAGTCTGAATTAATTTCAACCTGAATCAAGTTGAACTCATTTGTAACCTACTAAGACGTATACATGATAAATACGTACTAAAGCCTCAAACTGACACATTCAAACTATTTTCTTGGTTTCTATTAAAGACAAAAAAGATTTCAAATAAAATATTTTCTTACTTGGCATTTATCTCCAACTTCATATTGTAAGCCAGCAGCAATGGAATAATCACGTTTTTGTTGAGCTGTAACAGTTATCAACATAATATCAATTTGACTTAATTATTTGCAAATGCCACAAAGCAAATTTCTAGAAAATACACATTTTAACTCACCTTGTTTAGACTGCAGCCAAATTTCATATTGCACATTTCTATAGACTGCCGGATTGAGTGATTTAAGAACCTTTCTAGATAAAGGAGGGCTAGTAGAGTTCCCATTGTTCTTCAGATGCAAAAGAAAACAAACAAATCCAAAAAGTTCAATTAACACAGAAATGCTCTGAAAACATTATTTGACATAGGTATAAGAGTTAGTCAAATGAAGGGAAAAAAATAACTTCAAAAAATTAGTCATCAATAAATTTCTTCCTAGTATAAGAACCTGATTTTATTGAAAAGATATCAGGAAAAAAAAAAAGTTTAACATTATAAAAATTCATATGCTTTCATATATTGATAGACTAGTTAAACTATCTTTTAAAAATACCTGATTGCCTGACAAAGCTTTAAATCCATTCACATCATTAGCAGTGGTAGTTTTACTCCTAAAAAGGAAAAAAAAAAAAACAATCAGGAGCACACAAATATGTCTGCACCAAGAGTAACTTCTAACCTCTAAAATTCTCAAAAGAATTATCTTCCAAAACAATGAGCTAATACAAGCTTTAGTGTAAGTATATATATATACAGATAAGTGTTTGTGTGTAGATTTACTTAAGATTGAATCAAAGACTATTATTATCAATAAATGTTACTACCTCAGTCACCAACAAGAAAACAGAAATAAACTGTGGAATTTGGGGAAGCACAATAATTGACTTTATAAAATAATTCAACATTACTTTCAATTTTCAGGTGTGGTTCCCATTAAAATATTTTACTACAACAAAATTATGTATACCATCAATTCTTCTATTAAAAACATTCTGTACCAAATAATCTTCACAACCAAACAACTGTCATCAGTTGGATTCACTGTAGCACATACAACTATAAAAGGAGACCTAGTCAACAGCTTAGCTGCTAGCCAAAAGGTCAGCAGTTTAAAACCATCAGCTGCTCCCTGGTGAGCTGCTCCCTTAAAGAGTATAGCTTAGGAAACCCTATAGGGCTGTTCTCTGTCACACAGGCTCACTATGAGTCAGAATTGATTCAAAGGCCTACAACACGTAACTACACAGTGTACATTCATGCATGCAACAAATATTTGAGTGTGTACTGTGTTCCCAGACCTCACATCAGGTGCTGGGGTCTAGCAGTAAGCAAAAACAGTCAAAAATCTCTAGCACATGAAATGTATAATCTAGGGAAAGTAGATACAAACTAAATAATCAGTATGCTAAACATAAGATGCTATGAGGGGTAAAGGACCTCTAGTTATGCAATGGTTAAAGCATTCAAGTGCAAACCAAAAGGAAGGTAGTTCAAACCTACTAGCCACTCTGTAGGAGAAAGATGAGGAAGTATGCTTCAGTGAAGATTTACAGCCTTATAAATCCTATCAATGGCAATGGGTTTGGGTTTGGGTTTGGTTTTGGTTTTTATGGGAGGGGGGAGTAGGAAAGAGTGACAATGTTGAGATAGATGTAGGGTGAAATAATTTTTTAGAAAAAGATCTGAGGAAAGGTCTGAGACATCTTTTTGAATGAAGAATTAAAAGCGGTCAGATAGCAAACCCAGTTACTTAGTATTTCACGCAAAGGGAACAGCAGGTGCAAAGACTACAAGGTAGGACAGTCTAGCAAAGAGGCTGGTAAGGATGGAATGGTAATGATAGGTTGAGTGGGAGATGAGCTGAGAGAGGTTGCATCTATGTGTGCTCTTTTGTGTAACAATTCCTTCTTAATAAATCAATCTCTAGTCTTCAGTAAAGAAGCCTGGATAGCATAAACAGTTGGCAATCAGTTGCTAACCTAAAGACTGGTAGTTTGAACCCTCCTAGCAACTCTGCAGAAGAAATGCCTATCCAATTGCTTCCATCAAGATTATGGCCCAGAAAGCATGGGGATGGCTCACTATGAGCCAACAGCCGACTCAACAGCACCAAACAAGTCTTCAGAACAATCTCTAAAGGTCTGTATCTTTAAGTGCAATAATACTTCAAGAGACTTAACTGTCTAGACTAGAAAATCACCTAAAATTTCCAGTACTTCAGGACTGGCCAAAATGAATCCTGAAAGAATCCAGGCACTAGAGTATACTGACATCTTTGGTCTTCCCTTATTACCAAACTATATCTGTCTTGCCATGGTTATATATAGCATTCTACTTCCCTACAACAGATATAACATTAACAAAAGTAAAAAGAATATTTAATAGTGCAACAAAAAGTTAATTAAAAAGGGGTCCATACACCAAGGACTACAATTAAAAACAAATCAAACCCACTACCACTGAGTCAATTCCATCTCATAACAGCCCTACAGAGCAGAGCAGAACTGCCCCATAGGGTTTCCAAGGCTGTAAATCTTTACAGAAGCAGACTGGCTCATCCTTTTCCCACGGTACAGCTGGTGGGTTCAAACCACCAACCCTTTTGCTAGCAGCCAAATGCTTTAACCACCACACCACCAGAGGACTACAGTAGTACAGTATAAAAAGAACTGAACATGATAATGAGCCTACCTTCTTTCATACCTCCTCCATCTTCCAGCTTACTAACCTCCAGTCTATACTTCATCTACTTCACCTGCCTTCCCAGACCCAACTGCTGTTAACACTATTAGCAACAGTATGTGCTAAAAGTTCCCCCACTCCAACCACAGGTAATAAATTACAACAAGCTAGCTGTCATTCTCTCTTCCAACTTCCCCTATGTTTACTAAGATATATTAACCAGATAGTTGCCCAGAGAACAACTATGGAGCAGAATTTCTATCTGTGCAAAGTTAGTCTATTCAAGGATTAAGTTTATAACAGCAGACCCAAATTCTAACCTAACTGACTCAAATTGTCAAGATATGGTAGTAAATCAAATTTTCAATCTAGAGCAGAAAATTTTAATTCAATAAATGACTGGAAATTACAATTCAATGAAGATGTATTTTTTAGAAGTATTCATTTAATAATTAGCTATCTTTAGGCTAAATCCCATTTCTATTTCTAGCTTCAGTGTATAATACCAAGTAGAGTATTTTCATAAAGAATACTTTTCATTTCACTGGGAATATGGTTGGTTCTTATGAAATACATGTACAAGAAATGAATTTCTTAATAATGATAACTACTAATATATATTAAACACTATGTCTAAGAATTAGGCTATGCACTTTATATGTTCTCTCATTTAATTCTCATGAAAACTCCCCCTTTGAGGAAACACTAACATATCCTTTTACAGCTGCAGAATTGAGCCTTCTGAGCGAATGTAAGTAATTTGTCCCAAGTCCAGTTAGCAAGAAACCAGTACTGAAACTAGGGTTGGATGTCCAGAGCTCAGTCTCTTAGCCACTACCACGTATTGCCTGTATGGAAAAGATAAGCTTTCTAGATTCTAAATTAAAAGGTATTTATTCAGAACTAAATAGAGACATTATCCAGAACTGTTCACATATTTAAAGCCCAACATAAGAGTTTCATTATTTATAAAAATTTTAAAAAGGGGGGAGGGTGAGCATTATCTAAGAAAAATAACAATAAAAGGAACTCAAGGGAATCAAAGTGACCATTTTATCATTAATAGATAACTTATGAATTGATAACTTTGTAATTTTACAATACACACACATAAGGTAGTATTCAAATTTATTCTACATGTACAATCTTCATTACTTCAAAGAAACAGATCCCCATCAACCAAAAACACTGACTTTCAAAAACTACCACATAACAGGTATTAAATAAAATTAGCGGTAGAGATAAACTTCTACTGAGAGTACTATTATTTTATGAATATCATTACATCTCAGTATGTGAAAAAATTCCACGCAGAAAAATTTGATGAAATGTTTTTACGTGCACTAAGAAAGATATTTTAAGATTTAAATTTATTCTTACTTGCAACTGTCATCCTCTGAATCGGATATATCACTGTTGTTGTTTTCATCAGCCACGTCAGAGGAGTCTAGTCCCATCAAGATTTTACTAACATCAGTTTTAAATACCTTCTCATACAGCAATTCATAAAGGAGAGCTGAAATTAATAAGTGTTTTTATGCAATATTTTTAAAACTATTTGCAATTAAAAACTACAGTTTTTTTTTTTGTTTTTTTTAAAGAAATAGGAACAAAGAATAAAAATAAGACTGTCTATAGCTCAGGCTTCTAAAATCCTAACAAGATACATGCAACATCAATAACACAATCTAATCAGAAAGTTGCCTAAAGAGCAACCAGAATTTCTATCTGTGCAAAGTTGTTTTTGTTAGTTACCTTCAACTCCAATCCAACTCATAGTGACCCTATGTATCACAGACCAAAACACTGCCTGGTATGCAAAGTTAATTAGCTCAAAACCATCATATGAAATGCTAGCATTTAAAAAAAAAAAAAAAAATCACAACTAAGAGACAAGTATGATGATAGTAAACAGCAAATGTGTAGGCTGAGCAATTACTACATTTTATATACACTGCTAAAATTTTAAAAATCGTCATATTTAATGATAACAGAAATGTACTATATTCTGATTGTATAGATGAGGAAACTGAGTTTCAGAAATGTTAAAAAAAAAAAAAAAAAAACCTTAAGGAGCATGGATGAAAAACATAAGCACTATTAGAAAAAGGAATGTGGCATAGTATGGAGTACACTAAAACAACAAGTCATTAAGATACAGATCCTGGTCTTAGCTTTTCCACCATCTATAATCTTGAGCAAGGCATTTCACTTCAGGTTTCTCTGAAACAAGAGGCAGTCTGACTACTTAACTCAGCTCCAGATTTCATGAAATCTTGGTAATTTTCATAAGGGACTAAAAAGAAACTCGTAAAATATATTCTCAGCAGTTAATGAAGAGAGGAAGCATAACTAGAAAACTTTTTTTACTTTAAGGGAAAAAAAAAAAACTCCAACCCTGAAAGCATGGAAATATATTTCATAAAAAATTTAAAAACACACTATACATGGACTTTAGGATTTTCATTTGCCTTTATTTATTACAATGAGTTTTATGAAAACATAAGTGCACTAAAAATTCAACAACAGGTACCCACCCTTTTATTGTGTCCCCAAAAAGACCTCTTCTCACAGAATCTTTCTACAGATTCTGGTAACAGGAGACACAACCCTATGTCACCCAAACCACAGGCACTAAGATGGACAGAAAGGCAGTGTCCATGAGTTTTCCTTCCCAAAGCTGAAATGACCAGAATTGAACATTTGGAGGGAGGGGAACATACCATCCAAGACAGAGGCAGACAAGACTTTCAGATTTCAAAATGGAATTTGCATTACATCTATTTTTACTGGTCTCCACCAACTTAAGAACACAGTAAAAAACTGCTATATGCACAGCACTGCTATTTATATGAATGATTTGTGCTTTGTCAGACAGATGATAAAGGAGATAAAGACAGGAAGGGTCATTAAGCTTCTCCTACAGCAGTAATGCTTATATGACACCCAGAAAAAAACTCAAAATCATTTGGGAAAAAAAAGGTGGGGGGACCAAGTTTGCTGGTCTGATACAGCCTGATGGAACCACTGTGACTATGGCCCCTAGCTGCCCTTCAGGTTTAGAATTAAACCCACACTTGTGGCTTCCAGCCAAATAAAAGACAGGCATATTGAGGTGAACATTTACACTAGGAAGATACACTTCTTGGAGAGAACAATCATGGGAGAATAGAAGAGCTGTGTATGCACAGGGACATAGCTCAGGGGGCAGGAGTTCATGGAGGGAAGGACACAGGGAAGAGTATGGGGAAAAAGTGGGAGGGGAGCCGCTGTATTGTGGTAAATTGTAGTCAGGGTCATGAGACAAAGTATATGTGAACTGCTGTATGGAAAGTGAATTTGCTCTGTAAACTTTCACCCAAATAACAAAAAAAAAAAAAAAAAAATGACTCCCCAGAAAACATTTGGCAAAGTCTGCAGACGTTTTTTATGAGGATCAGCATGGGAGGATTTTACTGGCATCTACCGGGTGAAGGTCAGAGATGCTGCTAAACATCTTACAAGAGCACAGCTCAGCACCCACAACGAGTTAACTGGCTTAAAAAGCCAACAGTGCCAAGGTTAAGAACCACGTCCCAGTGCCAAATACAATCAAATGTCTGATGTGCTCAGCCATTTGGATTTTCAACCTATGCATGAACAGCTTCAAAATTACATATAAATCCTTACTGCCGAAATGCCTGCAGACAACTAACCACTATGTATTTACAAGTTAAACTCTAGTCAACAGCTCCCTTTTTTTTTTCCCTCTCTACTGAAACAACTTTTTATTATGGTAATCATATTTTTGGTAATCTAAAGGTCTCAGAAATATCTTTCATACTACAGCAGAACAGAATATATTTGCCATGACTTGTTTGCAGTGAGGCTGTAAAGTTTCGGAATCTAATTGACTATATAAATGCAAGAGCAATACTTACACTGACACATAGCAGAGCTTTCTTTATACTCTATGGGATAGACAATATCATAATGATTTCCATTTGAAAAACACAGTAATACCTGAAAGGAAAAAAGAAAAATACATTTCAGCACCTTCATATTATGACATCTGCACAGTAATTTATGACTCCCATGCCTTGGAATTACTGTAATTCCCCCAAATAAAGTTAATATTTTAGAAGTAACTTAAAGCTCCAATGTGGTCAGCTCTGGTACAAGTCTCAGTGCCTTAGGAAAATGCTTATCAGGGATCAAGGATGAATGTTAAATCTAAAACCACAGAGTTCTTTGAAGAAAATATAGGGGCAAAGCTATGGGGCCTAGTTTTCTTTTAATGATAGATTATCAAATACAACAATAATTACACAAGCAGAGGACAAAATAGATAATTAGAACCTCATGAAACTAAATACTTACAAATGAAAAGATGCTCATTATAATTAGCCATTTTTAAAAAAAAAAAAAAAACCCACCGCCATCCAGTCAGTTCCAACTCATAGCAAACCCCCACTGGGTTCCAAGGAGGTAAATCTTTACAGAAGTATATTGCCCTTACTTCCACAGAATGGCTATTAAGTTTGAACTGCCAATCTTCTAGTTAAGCAGTCAAATGCCTTAGGCTCTGTGCCACCAGGGCTCCTTAATTAGCCATTAGAGTGATGCAAATAAGATACTACCTCACCCCTACTAGAATGGTAATGATCAAAAAAACAGAAAACAACAAATGTTGGTGAGGATGTGAGGAGAATAGAACCCTTATCCAAAACTGGAAAAAAAAAAAAAAGCTGGAATTGACTTAGCAATTCTACTCCTATATATACCCTAGGTACCAAAAAGTAGTGACACAGACAGACATATGTATAGCTATGTTCACTGCAGAACTATTCACAGTGGCAAGGTATCCCTAAATAGATGAATGGATAAATAAAATAATAAAATACAATGGACTACCACTCAGCCATAAAGAGAAATGAAGTCCTGATACATGCTATGATATAGATGACATATTATGAGTGAATTGAGTTAATCACAAAAGGACAAATATTGCATGTTCTCATATATATATGAAATGACAAAAACAGCAATGGGAAAATTGGCATTAATTAATGGCAATGGTTACACAACTTAACTAATGTAACTGATCACTACTGATCAGTAAACCAGAAAAAGGGCAAAATGGCAAATGTCCATTACATACAATTTCACAAAAGCAGCAACATAAAGAGCACAGTTACTGATACTACTTAGTTACAACCAAATAGCTCACGGAATTAGTTTAATTAGTCTAATGGTTTAGGGTCATGATTTCATGTGACAATCCAGTCAACTGACTAATACTGTCTTTAGCTTCTGTTCTAGCTCCCAGTTCAGTGAGTAGTGTCTGGAGTCTTAAAACCTTCTGAGTGGCCATCAAGATATAAGAATTGGCCTCTATTCACCTAGACCACTAGAAGAAAAAGACCCAGGAATTGCAGAAAGCAGTGGATTGTACATCTAATTGCTTCCATAACTACTGCCTCCTTTGTCATGAGACCAGAACTGGAGAGTAATTACTCAATGTTTTGAGCAAAGATTCACTAGATGGACCCTGATCAAAAGAGCGGAATGCGCAACAGAATTTTAAATTCCTGTGGAATCCAGATTTACTAGACCCACTGAGACTGGAGGAACCCCTAAATCTACTGTTCAGCGATCATCTTTAAACCTTGAACTGAAACTATGTCCTGACGTCATCTTTAAGCCAAATAACAGTTTAGCTCAATTAGTAAAAAATGTTTACCTGAAACTCTTTTAAAGAATTATCTATATGAGATCAAATGGACAACACTAACTCTAAAGCATAGATGAGACACGTAGGGGACAGGGAGTCAGAGTTAATGGGCTAAAATCATGTGGCTACAGAAAACGAGAATGATGACACAAATATAGAACCAATGTCACTGAATTGTACATGTAGAGATTGTTGAATGGGTGTATGTTTTGCTCTGTATGTATTTTCACCAAAAACTAAAAAAAATGTTGTATGAGATCACAAAAAAACAAGACAAAATTTATGAAAACACATGTTAACAAGAGAGCATAAAGACTGGAAAAATAATTCTTACCTCTAGGAGGCAGAATTAAAGATAAATTTTTTTTTCTACTTTGTTACAGTTTACAGAATTTCCAAATAGTCAAATTATTTAACCAAGGAAAATGTACATTGGTTTTGCTTAGAATGTGTTACTCTCCAAAAATTGTATTGGAAAGGCCAGATCCAGAGTAAAGCCTCTTAGAAAGACACCATTTCACTCAAAAGCCCCTTCTCACTGTAATGGTGACACTCAAGTCACTTCATCTTGGCCTGCATGATTCCAAAATAGCCAATTAAAACAAAGTTCTTGAGCTAGATGGTGCCCAGCTACCCATGCCAACAACCACTCAGGAGAGGATAAAATCTGGAGATCCTGGATAAAGTAGGAGGAAAAACGTGGAACAAAATCCAAAAACTCAATAATGACCAAAACTACTGGTCGGATGGAGTCTGGTGAGACCCCCAACACTATGGTCCTGGGATATATTCTGCATCTGGAATAAAACTTACTCCCAAGGGCTGGCTTTCAGTCCAATAGTTAACAAGATGTACATGCAGACTACTCAACACAGAGTGACACACCCACATACTCTATGGAAATACATCCTTTGGAGCAATAGACTATGGGGCACCAGAGGGGCAACATTCACACAGAGGCAATGTGTAACTATGAGGGGCACAGGGAGAGGGTTACTGGGCAGGGAGGGAAGGAGACTGGGTTAGGGTTGGGCATGGTAAATGGGGAATGAAACTAAATGTACATGTAATGTTGAATGTAAAACAAACTCTTAAAATAAAAATAAACAAAGTTCTCTTACAGTGAATCAACTCACTCTTTTTCTATCCAGAATTCAAAAAATTTTTCCATTGTTCCTGCTTTGTGATAACACCCTAGTCAGTGAATCACCTTTACAATGGGAAATATATCATGATTACCAACATATTCCTTGATGCAACGGTAAAATCTATTTTCACAAATTATTTTACTATTTAATATTTATAGTCACAAACTGATAGTCTAGATCTTCATATTCACTACTGTCTTACCATAATTGTTTCCTCTACTGAAATGTTAAAAAAAGGTTCAACACAGTGATTTGTAGAAGAGAAAACAAAAAATAATATACTCAGTTAGATGCGGATGATTAATAGGAACTTAAAAAACTCAGAATACTACAACCATCTACAGAATATGTCAAGTCACTTTAAAATTATGGATTAGGAAGTCAAGGTGGCAAGTGAATGGCTCTTATACTCAAAATCTTTAGAGACACTTAGAAAAACTCTTACCTTTTCAGGAAAATTATTTGCAGTTACTTGTGAAGGAGAAACATTTGGTTCCCGATAAATTATAAAATCTTTCCTGAAAATAACATTTAGAAATTATTTCTAGTATAACATATTTTATAAATTTGAATTTAATTATTCATTCATTCATTCATCAAGTGCCTAATATGTGCCAGGCAACGTTCTAGGCACTAGAGATATGAAACAAACCAAATCCACTAGTAGAGTCAATTCTGACTCACAACCACCCTGTAGGACCGAGTAAACCACCCAACAGGGTTCCCAAGGCTGTAAATCTTTATGGAAGCAGACTGTCACATCCTTCTCCCAAGGAGTGGCTAGTGGGTTCAAACCATCAATTTTTTGGTTGGTACCAAGTGCTTAACCGCTGCACCACCAGGCCTCCTATCGAGAAATATAAACCAAAAAACAAACCCAATGCCATCAAGTCAATTCCAACTCACAGTGACCATTTAGGACTAATTAGAGCTGCCTCACTGGTTTTCTACGGCTGTAAATCTGCGGAAGTAGACTGTCTCATTTCTCCCATGGAACAGCTAGTGGGCTCAAACCACCGACCTTTTGGTTAGCAGCCAAATGCTTTAACCACTGTGCCACTAAGCTCCTACCACAGATATAGATGTATCCCGATAATAGTAAAATAACTAAGTTGTAAAACATCTAAATAAAGAAATCTTTTTTTTTGCGGGGGGGAAATAATTCAAATATATGGAACCCATAAGTACTTCAGAAGATAGGCCTACAATCTGCCTCTGAAAGATCACAGCCTTGAAAATTGTATGGAGTAGTTCTACTCTACAGACATGGGTTGGCCATTAGTTAGAATCAACAACTTCAGATGTATTTCTAAAAGAAGACCTCAGAGAATTCACAGAAATTGTGAAAACAAAATTTAGACATATTAGGGGGAAAAGCATTCACCTGCTCCTCTACTGGTCAAAAATAATAAAATTGATTAATATAATGTTTCAGTTCTAGTGAACGGTCTAATGGCCATTCAATACTATCTGCTTGGGAAAATAAGAAATCATTTCTATGTAAAGTTATAAAGTGATACTGGTTATGACACAGCCTGAAAAAATCTCTGTACTCCTTTCAAAAAAAAAATATTTTAAGAATTAAAATATATCTAAACTTTGATATATCTACAATCAATGTCAAAATCTAACTGACGTAATTTTAAAAAAATAGAAAAGATGCTTCACAATCTAAGTATAAAATGACTTTGCTACTTTAACATTTTTAGGATGATAGATTATACTCATTTTCCAGTGATTTTATTTTTGTTAACTTATGTTATTACACTTTTTACCTGTACATAAGAGAAAGGGCACTTATTTCCACTTGTCCAACCCATTCCTGTATTGAAGAAAAAAAGTTGACACATAAGTATCTTATACTTTTTATACTATAACTCTATAAAAAAACGCTCATTAGTATCATTAGTAATACGACTTTTATAAAAAATGTTTAATTAAACAATAATTTATACAAAAGAGCAGTCCAAGTCGCTGATGTAAAAATTTTTTGTAACAGGCTTGAATGAAAGCTCTTCTTGACATGTCAAGACCACCAAAGTGGCATCTGTGAATTGAGAACTTGCTTAAGGTAAGGGCTATCCTTCAACCTAGTATCCAAGGTACAGCCTGGCACATGGCATGTGCTCTTATCTTCAGAGTGAACAAAAAAAAATAATTTTGAAATAAGGTAGTTCTATAAGTCCTTAAGCCCTTCTGGAAGGCAATTAGACAGTATATATTAAAATTTAAATGCCCATGTAGTCTTCGGCCCAGTAATTCAACTTCTATTTATTTACCCTGGAGAAATATTTCATGTCTACAAAAGTGTATGCAAACAAACAAGGATATTCACTGTAGCTAACTAAAATATTAAAGAAAAAAAAAAATTAAGATTCCACCAATAGGTAAATAAGTTACTTAATATGGCTCTTCTACCTATGCATGGTCTTGTGACTCCCAAAAAAATAACTGGGTTGTTGTTGTTATGTACCATGGCTATGCAAATAAAGTGCATGGAACCCAAAGGAAGGGATTGGTCAATTTTGCCATCCTACTAGGCTTTTATTAAAAGGAGCCAGTCTCAGAAGCAAGGAAGGACCTCACCATCATCAAGGAAGAAAAGCCAGGAGTGGAACAGGTCCTTTGGACCTCAGGTCCCTGCACTGAGAACCTCTAGACCCCAGAGACAAAAAGAGCTGCAACACCAGAGAAGGCATGAGACCAGGAGAAGCAGCAGCAAGCATGGCAGACAATCAGGAGACCAACATGAGACAGCATGGTGGGAAGCCCACAGAGTGAGGTGGTTAAAGTAGGTGTGTTCAACCTACCAAGCAAGAGAGCAACTTCAGGTAGGAGGCTTGCTGGCATAATGGAATGCCTCCAAGCACCTGACAAGACCTAGGCTTGCCAACCCAGAGCGAGAAAGCTGAGCACCTTCAGACCAAAGCTTACGAGTGGACTGAGGTGCTTCCAGGCACTTAGCAGCAGCAGAGCTAAAGAACATTTGCCTAAGCAGGGCAGAGACCATTCAAGAGGTCAAAGGCCAGAGAGAAGCCTGTCTGCAGGCGTGGCTGAGACACTGTCCTAATCAAAGAACTGTATCCTGAAGTCATTACTGATCCTACATTGTAGCCTGTTACTTCCCTAATAAACATCATAATCTTGAGTATGGTCTATGAGTTCTGTGTGGCCACTGCAAAGAATTACTGAACTCAGTAGAGAAGTAGAGTGTGCAATGGACAGCTTGTGTCAGAACTAGTTTAAAAAAAAAAAGGTTGGAGAGTGGAGATATGTTTCACCCTCACCTTACAGGAATCAGCCCTGGCCTGATGCTGATGGTGATTCTCCTCCCAACCCCACCCCCATCTTGTAAAGTTAGATGAGGCAGTCTCACACTGTACCACCATTTTTATAATAAGTAATAATTAAATAATAATTTATGGTTTGTCCATACTATGGATCATCATACAATCACTGAAAACAATGAACTGACTTGGAAAGATCTATCAACCTTATTAAGGCAAAAAGTAAGTCATGATAAAAATAATCCTATTTGTATTAAACAAAAAGAAGGTATGGCTATTTGTACGTGGACGTGTTATGTGTGTGTACGTGTGTGTGTGTGTGTGTGTGTGTAAAGAAAGGAGACTGGAAATATGAATCTCAAACTATTGACAGTAAAAAACAGAATTCAAAATGGGAAAATGTGGGATTTTTGCCTTTCATTCTATATTTATCTGTAATTTTAAACCTTTTACTATGACAATGTAGTCCTATACTACTTGTGAAATTAGTAAAGCCTTAATATCAAAAGTCACTAAAAACACTGAGCTATGATGTATAATAGGAAAAAAATACTGATATTTTAGACAATGGTTTAATCTCAAGAAAGGGTAATCTTTCCCAAAAGACTTTTCTTTTCAATAGTTCTTAAAAGCTGGTTCTGGTTTTCAAAATCAAGTAAGTGACATATTAAAATAGATTTCTTAAAATAGGCCTCAGCCTAACAATCATGGCCTCTCACTAACTGCTCTAACAAGTGACATCTCTGGCATAGGGGAAACCCTTCACTGGCATCAGTCTGCTTAGATCACAAACACTAGTGACACTTTCAGTTTATCTGAAATGAGTTCATCACATAAAAAAACAGAAAATTGTTCCTATAATGTCAAAACAGTATACCTCAAATAATATATTTTTTATAAGTATTTAGCCTTCAGAACAAATTCATAAAGATAAAAATTTTATTTTTACTCAGAACTTTTTATGATGCTTGATACACTTGTGCATAAGATTAAAGAATTTCTGAAAAATGTTTTAACTAATGAACTACACTATAGTAAAATGATTAATTTAAATGTTCTTAAATAGTCACCAAATTAAATTAATTTAAATGTTCTTAAATAGTCACCAAATTAAATCCTCCATCAGAAGATACTGTCAAGAAAATGAAAACACAGAATACAAACTGAAAGAAAATACTTACAAAATATATAACCAACACAGGACTTACATCCAGTACAAACAACTCAAAATTTAGTTAAGAAGGCAAATACAATAAAAAACTGAGCAAAAGCTATGAACTGACATATCACTAATTAACACATATAGATGGCAAATAAAAACACGAAAAGGTGTTCAACATCATTATTCATTAGAAAAATCAATATTAAAATCACAATCATATACCATCACAACCACTGAAACAGCTACAATTAAAAAGGCAGACAATATTAAGTATTGGTGAAGATACTGAACAACTGAACTCTTAAAATATTGCTGATGGAAAAGCAAAATGATACAGCTACTTTGGAAAACAGATTGGCATTTTCTCATTAAATTAAACATACATTTATCATATGACCAAAAAATTACACTCCTAGGTATTAATCCAAGAGAAAAGAAATCATATGTCCACACAAAGAATTATAAGCAAATGTTCATAGCAACTTCCTTCCTTAAAGCCCAAAACTGCAAAGATGCAAAGAACCCAAATCCATCAACTGGTAAATGGATAAACAAACTGTAATATATCCATATAAGGGACTACAACTCAGTAAAAAAAAAAAAAAAAAACCTAATTATTGATACACACAACAACAGGGAAGAATCTCAAAAGGTTTCCATTATGCTAAGTGAAAGCCAAACAGACACATAAGACTACAGACTCTATTATTCCACTTATAAGTCTAGAATAGGGTAACATTTAGCCAAAGAGAGCAGATCAGGGTTGGCAAAAACCAGAGGGTAAAGGGAGGGGACCCTGCAAAAGGACATGAGGGAATTTGAGAGGATGATGTCCAACATGAATTTTGTTTGGTTTTTTTTTTTGGTAAAATGTACACAATGAGATTCACCAATTTTAAGGGTAGAATTTGATAAGATTTGCCAAATGTCAACATATATATTCTTGGAAAAGTTCGAGACACTTGTCAAAGTGCTCCACTGATATTTTAGCTAATAAAAATACTTCTCTGAGAATTAGAGGAAGAAATGGAGTTTACCCTATTATCTAAGTATTAACTGTGTTCCCATTTTACACATCTCCTATCAGAGAAAAAACAATCAAGATTCGTAAATACTTGTTGTTAACAACAAAGAAAAAACAACTGTTCAGGAGGTACCTGAGACATCTGGAGAAAACTGATCAGATTGCAGAGCGGGTATATTAAGAATAAAATATCCTGTTACTTTCAGAAAGAAACACCTGGCCAGTCTACCCCTTTACAAGGAAGCAGACAACCTGTCCCACATACGAAAAAAACTGCAGCAACTTTCACTCCTTCTTCCCCCCAGGACCCCTATATCAAACCACTCCTGATTCAGTTCATACAACCTTCACTTGCTCTCTCCACTCCCATTAATTCTATCCTGGCACAGACCCCATTACTCCACAGCCTGAACTGTTGCACAAAGATTATTTTAAAATAACTTTGTGGGTTTTTTTTCTGATAAATGTTCTTTACCATTACCTACATTTTCTATTAGAAAGAAAGTAAATATCACTTGTAATAGTACTACCTAGAGATAACAACAGGAGCTCTGGTAGCGTAGTGCCTAAGGCACTTGACTGCTAACCAGAAAGCTGACGGTTCAAACCCACCAGTCACTCCTCAGAAGGAAGGTTGGGCAATCTACTTCCGTAGTGATACTGCCTCAGAAACCCAAGGAGGGGTCGCTATGAGTCAGGGCCAACTCGACGGCACATAACAACAACAACAACAGAGATAACAACAGTTAACATTCTGGTATATATTTCATATCTATTACATATAAACTAAATGAAATTGATCATGGCCTTTAGACAAAATTCAGTATCCGATAAAAGTATACCATATTTTTTTCACATTTAACACCCCCACAGGCACAGGGGATTGCACGGTTTACAAAATAATATTTGCATGAAAAATAAGGTAGTTAGGGGTGGATTTAGAGAAAAGGCCTTCACAGAGTATTTGTCTCTGAAACTGAGGTAATACTGTACTTATTTTTACTTTTAATGTAAGGTACACATTACTCTTATACTAAATAACTGAAAAAAATTTTTTAATTGGCCTTTCTGCCTCTGCTCTCATCCTCCTCCAGGTCATTTTACACATACTCTTTCATCTGTCCATTCAGGCAATCAAAAATTCCAGGCAATGTTCTTGACTCAGACAAGTATTCTTGGCTCTAGGAGCCCCAAAAGACAAAGCAGAACTGCTCCATAGGGTATTTTACACTGTAATCTTTACAGAAACAGATTACCAGGTCTTTTCTCCTATGGAGCCATTAGTGTGTTCAAAATGTAGAACTTTTGGTTGGCAGCCAAGTGCTTTAACCTTTGCACCACCAGGACATGGTGCCTAGCAATTCTCAGTCTATACCAGGTACACAAACTAATGCTAGGGAAATAAATGGAGACACCAATCATTTACCAGACTAACACCCTTTATCCTGAGCTACATTCCCTTTACGCCTTGCCTGACTCTTAGCTTTTTCTTTAGGTAATACTGTTTTTTTTAAACAATGATTACCTCTGGAGTGATGGAAAACTTAACATTCCATCTGGAATTCCAGAATATCTATCTGTATCCTTACAGTGAGAGTATTAGTTTCAGAAGCAGAAAAAACAAAGATAGAAAAATTCTTTTAACTTCGGTATGACAGAGAAAGTGGGGCAGTGGGACTCTGTTGGGGAAATCCTGGCCTTTTTTTTCCTCAACAGACTTCCCACTCTCAAGCTGATCGTGTGAAACACAACCTCCATAAAAGAACTATCTTCTCAGTTGCCTAAAGAAGAATTAAACCTTGCCTTCTTCCCACTAATTCCCCTATACACACCAACACAACATCTTGAAAATCATCACCAGTATTATTTTAGACCTTTTATGCTACATTCACATGCCATTATGACAAACATAAAGATATCATAACTCTGCCCTTAGTGAGGCAACCTTTAGTACACAGCTCCAACTATCTTCCAACATAAAATGTGTTTGTAAGAAATGTTTATAAGAAAACTGTTACATAACCTCTCCATATATTGTAATAATTTTTAATGACTTTCGAATACATTATTTGAATATATAAACATAGAAATACACTAGATTATTTCATACCTGTGGATTTTCCAAACGTTTTAAATACTCTTCAAATGACCCTTCTATAAACTGAAAAAAAAAAAAAAAAACCACAGAGTTAATCTCTTAGGAAATATGTAAATAATGTTCACTTTGATTTACTGAGTGCTTACATGAACCTAGGAGCTCTGGTAGCATAGTGCCTAAGGCACTTGACTGCTAACCAGAAGGCTGGCAGTTCAAACCCACCAGCCACTCCTCGGAAGGAAGGTCGGGCAATCTACTTCCATAGTGATACCACCTCAGAAACCCAAGGAGGGGTCACTATGAGTCGGGGCCGACTCGATGGCACTTAACAACAACATGAACCTAGGAAGCATCAGTTATGGTTAAAAAAGAGAACATAATCTAATTATAAAAATATATAAAAATCATTAGTAAAAAATATTAAATTACAGAAGAACTAAAAGAAGGAAATGTTCTCAGGAAAGGTTTCATGGAAGAAGAGTGACTCAAAATGAAGGTTAGACAGCAAATGGACGATATGGCATGAGGAGATGAGAACACTATTGGGAAGACAGCACTGACCTAGCCAGTGGGGGAAGGGGAACTTAACCGGGGAAAGTCAAATGAAAGAGGACCCAAACAGGGATTTGTTTATGAAGGGCCTGGAGTCCAGGCAAGACTTTCAGATTTAGAGGTGGAGGCAATTCAGTGTCACTGCAGGTGACATTCTGAATACAAAAATTACTTGATAAAAGAAATACTTCAGCAGATTAATTTGGCGGTGTTCGGTATATAAAAGAAAATAAAGCAAAGACAGACATACCCCCTAAGAAATACCATAGTTTACTAATACAGATATGAGGAGTCATTGCCTCTTGGGTCAGCTGTACTAAAAAATGAGAGATGATAGTTAATAATGCTAAAGGTATTTTGAAAAATCTCCAATTTTTTTTTTTAACACAGATTACTTTGTTACTTTTACACAAAAATAAAAGTGAGTTTATTCTAGCTATGTCATAACTAACCTTTTACTTTCTCACAGCTATTGCCCTAATTTAAGAAAAAACTTAAAAAGACATGCATCTCAAATATTAATTTCATTTATTGTCCCAATTAATTTAGCAAAGTGATTTACTTAAAAACATTAATGAATACTCTCTAGTACGTATCTTTTTGATTCCTATGGATTTTTATTAATTCAGATTAATTTTTATAGACCACATACTGTCAAATTTCCAAAAAGTACCTTAAGTTTCAAAACAAATTTTAAGAGGTTATTTAAAATAAAATAGCCATATATCTTAAATATCCTAGTAATCAATGGAAACTGTTCTATATTTGATTATTCATAGACTTGAAAAAAGAACCATCTACAGTTGAAAGAGATTTAACAGGCATTCTAATGCAATCCTGCAACCCATCCAAGATTTTGTTTTCTAATCAGGAAATGTCCATCTAGGCCCTCACTGAACATTGTCAATGACAAGGCACATCCTTTCTCATGTCAGCCATTTCCAATTCTGGCCAATAGACACTATTAGGTTTTTGTTATAAGGAAAATGAAACCTCCCCTCTTGGAACTTTTAACCTCTAGTAATACCTCATAAGATTATACACAATAAAGATAAGCAAAGCACTAAGAATAATGGCTGGTACACAGTAAGCACCCAACCAATGTTAGCAATGAGTCAGAATCAACTCCACGGCAACTAAGAAAACAGTTTTACTCTCTGGGCCCAATAATGATAAATTCATTTGTAATTTTCTTAAAGACAAACACTACTTCACCTTCTCTCCTTCTCCACCATGCCCTGATAGTCCCATATCTAACCTCAACATAACCAGCTTTTTTTTATAAGATAAAGTTTCAAATCTCCAGATTAAGTAAGTTAACTCTCCTTCCTGAAATACATTACTACCCATCTTAAAACATGGCACCCAGAAAAATCAGTAATAACACTTTGCTTGAATAAATAAGGATAGAGATAGCAACTCAAAAACACATCAAAGCTAAAAACTGTATCTATTAAGTTTTAGAAGTGAGTTATCTGAAATTTCAATATTCTTTACCAACTAATAAGGGGAAAATGCCAATCAATAAAGGTTATCAAGTGACATAATTCTAGGTCATAGTCATAAAACCAATAAATAGTACATCCATAAAGCTTTCAATATAAAATGAAAACCAGATCTATGTGGAATCTTATTTCAGCCTGCTATATACTACAAGTTGTTATATAACATTCTCTTAACTATTAATCATCATTTACATAACCATAGCGTTCTGTGATTTCACAAAACCTGAAATAAAAAAAAAAATACATCTATAAATACCTTCTATTCAAATTAATGATTCACTATTACTTATGCTCTACATGGATTTTATACCTCAAGTCTGAAAATTTTTAATTACTAGGGAGTTACCAATCACAGCAACCTCTTGTAACCACAATATCTGATTCATTCACCACGTCAGACCAAAAAAATAAAAAAACAAACTCACTGCCATTGATTCGGATCAGAATCATAGCGACCCCTCCTTGGGTTTCTGAGGGGGTATCACTACAGAAGTAGATTGCCCCATCTTCCTTCAGAGGAGTGGCTGGTGGGTCTTAAGGGCCAGCTTTCTGGTTAAAAGTCAAATGCCTTAGGCACTACACCACCAGAGCTCCTCTTAACATATAAGGACCCTGCCCAGATCATCTTTCCATCCCCAACAGCTCAGCAGTATCTTATCCTTTACAGAAATTTTCTAAATGTCCAAACAAATGAATATCCTAAAATGGCTAAAAAAAGTTTCACAAATATAGTATGATTTGAGTTCAGTAAAGCAGTCCTCTCTTGTAAGCGTTATTTTCAAAACCTGTATTAACATAAACCAAAAACCAAACTCACTGCCCTCAAGTCGGATCCAACTCATAATAACCCCTCCTTGGGTTTCTGAGGCGGTATCACTACAGAAGTAGATTGCCCAATCTTCCTTCAGAGGAGTGGATGGTGGGTTTGAACCACCAGCCTTCTGGTTGGCAGTCAAATGCCTTAGGCACTATACCAGCAGAGCTCCTTGTATTAAGATACAGCCTGTGAAATTCTCATTAGACCACTTCTAAATGCCAAAACGTAAATTCAAGTCAGAATACCATTACATGCTTGAAATTAAAAATTACCGCTTCAAATTTCTCTCTGTTCTCTCGAAGATAGCGAATACAGGCCATTCTGACTTCAACATGGCGAGACTGAGAATGTAATACCTGAAAAAAAAAAAAAGCAACACATAATTAAGCACTTTTATTGGAAGTGGATTTACATTACAATCAAACAGACTTCTTTCACACCCAAAATAAACTAACAACCAACAAATCAACCTCCTTCCCTTTCCCTTTAATTTCTAATTCATTTCCACTTCTTCCTCTAATCACAGCAATGACATAGCACATACAAACTTATTAACATCAGCACTTCTTCTTATGCCAGATGTCATGCCATAAACACCTTATTACCATTTTTCCTTCAGGTCACTGAATTTACCCAGTAGAGGAAATCTTTGTACACTTACGACATATTCCTCTCTTGGCCATCCCTCTACTCTAACTTTTCCATTCACAAATTAGGGCTAACAAAATCCCTGCTATGCCGTGCTTAGCATCATCTTATGCTTGTTGAAAAAGTAGCCCCGGTAGCACAGTGGTTAAGCACTCGACCTAACTGAAAGGTCAGTGGTTTGAACTCACCAGCTGCTCAACAGGAAAAAGAGTGTCAGTTTGCTTCCAAAAAGATTAAAATCTAGGAAACACCATGGGGCATTTCTACCCTGTCATATACGGTCATATGAGTCAGAATCAATTTAACACCACACAGAAACAACTTGCTTGTTGAAAAAGAGAACAAGTGACTTCAACAAGAATCTTCTGAGGCTATAAGCCTGTAAGAGAATTCTTTTTCCCAGTAATTACAAAGTTGTATAGTGATCATATGTAGTAGAAATTTAAGTCTACTATGATTTCAAGAAAATTAAGGAATCTACTCTTAAATCTTTAACAATTAAGCTTATAAAATCTTTGAATGAACACAGTGAACAGCACACAGGGTGCCTATAGGCTGCTACATCTCAAGATCCTTGGGATTTGCTCTTATGCTCAAATTCTCAATGCACCACCTGAAAACAAGTAACCCTACAAAATTTTAACTCAGATCCTCCCACTAATTCAACAAAACAACTAATTCAACAAAAGGATAATTTATTGGCATTTTTTTCTTGTACTAAAATTCTAAAACTTTAGTTTGAAACAAAGTATTATTTCTTATCAAATGCTTAGAAACCCTATGGCTAGGCCCCAATATTTTCCCATGCTTAAATGAGATTAAAATTCTTTTCTATTACTAGGTGTCTCAAATGATGGTGTTCCTGGCACCCTAAAGGATCAAGGTTAAAAAATAAAGAAACAAACAAAAAAAACCTGACATGCATAAGTAACCACATCTCAAACTGCTACCAAAATCCCTTGAGAATTTCTATTAATAGAAAGTAGCTTTAAGAGTAATTCTCCCCTACACTCAGAGCAAGCAGAGAATTCAGAAAAAGAGAAGCTCTAGCTGTACATTTACATCTCTCCTTGGATAAAAGCCAAGGCTCATTTAAACTCACAGAAGCACAGCCTCAACTGTCTGGACAACTAGTATATTCAAATACATTGAGATACATCGAAGACGAACTAGCCAATGTTAGCAATGAGTCTGTTTTCAGTATACTAGCCACTTTTCAGTTTAACTGAGTGTGCCTTCATTGTTGTCTTGGGACAGTATTAAAAAGCATCCTTGTACATTATAAGCTTCCAGCAATGAAAGACTTGTCCATATATAAAAATAAACAGTACTAATTTGATTGTCAATTGTACAAACATTAAGCAACATTTCTTTCACAGAAGCTATGCTAGACATTATTATGATCAAGGTATTATTAGTTTGAGTAAACCACAGTGCCATCTGATAGGGCTTTCCAGCAGTTGGCAAAGTGAAGCTGGTCTTAAAGTCATTTACCTAGCAACAGGTGGCAGACATAAGTAAAGCTTATTTTCCACCAAAAACAATGGTAAGCATAGCTCTTTTCTCTTAACAAAAATTTGGCATATAGAATCGGAACCTGGTACTCAGAAGCAAAACTCTCAGCAACTTCCACAAAGGGTGCGGTACTGGTGATCTATAAACTCATGTACTGCAACAGAAATAAAGTTAAATAACTATTTCTAAAAAGTAAATTGTAGAAGTTCAAGTTCACTCAGGAGACATTCAAATGGTTTTACAAATACTTACCTTCCCACACTATTATATACATGAAAATAAGCTAAAACTAGCAGTCTTTCCCATCTTATGCATAATAGATAACCTGTATAATAGAGTGATGAACAATGGAAAAGGCAGAGACAGACTGCTTTAGCAGATCTTCTAAAAGTACCCTATTTTTACCCCATGGCTATGGAGCTCATTCAAGTCAGGCCTCCTGCAAGCTGAAGTCTACAAGTATAAAAAGAAAACCAAACACACTGCTGTGGAGTCCGATCCGACTCACAGCAACCCCTCCTTGGGTTTCCGAGGTGATATCACTATGGAAGTAGCCTGCCCAACCTTCCTTCCGAGCAGTGGCTGGTGGGTTTGAACCGTCAGCCTTCTGGTTAGTTGTCAAATGCTTTAGGCACTAAGCCACCAGAGGTCCTATTATAAAAAGGGGAGAGCCTATTTAAATTAGGTAATTTGGAGGGAAGGACTACTCACATCTCTAAAGACTACATTTAAATTACTTTAACTCCTTCTTAGAAATGACGAACATTTTCCTTGATTTTACAGAAAATCTTGACAAAAAAATAAATCCTCTGCACACATTTAAATGGACAACCTGAAGTCCGTATTAATTCCCTTTCCCCTACACTCTTATTCCATGTCTACTGAAGAACTGAGCCTCACAGCAAAGTTCAGTGTTGAGCTCTCCAAGCTTAGCATACAAAGTCACAGTTATATAACCGAAGGTAGTCCCAAATGCCTAATCTAAATCCCATGAAACCAAGATATACTAAAAATGTGCTATGTGACATTAGCAATGTGTTCTTAGTGTAATTAGCTAGTAGCCTTTCTACTATACATATATCTAACAGACTCCACTTATAATAATTAAGGGTTTTTGGAATAACCAAAGAAGCATTGGTTACACAATGGTTAAAGCACTCTGCTAACAAAAAGGTCAGCGATTTGAACCCCTAGCCACTCCAAGGAAGAAAGATGTGATAGTCAGCCTTGGAAATCCCATTAGGCAGTTCTACTCCATCGTACGGTTTGCTGTGAGTTGGAACTGACTTGAATGCTAGGGGTTTGGTTTTTGGATGATTATGTCAAATATCTACAGCATGTAATACTGAAATCACACACACCTTTCTAATTCATTATCAACAAAGGCTTGGATAATCTAACTCCAAACAAGCTCCAAACTTCCTTTTTTCTATCAGTTTCACCTTCTTCTTTACCAAATTCTTGCTAGACCTACAGTATGTACAAGACAGATGGAAATCCAAAAAATTCAAAAATGTACAATCTGTTTACTAGTAGTGAGAACTGGAGTGTGTGTGCGTATTTACACACCATACCAACACTGAAACATTCCAAATTTCTGAAGTTGAGAGAAATCTAATAAAACTGAAAAGAAGGTTGCTTTGGGGAACTTTAGGAAAAAAGATTGATTGACAACACATGCAACCTAATGACAAAGGTTTGTACCTGTTAAATCAATTTCCTGCTTTAAAAAAAGATTTTATTTACTGGCTGTGAATACAAGGAATTGAAGACCAAATAACTGGCCTTCTGAAGTCTAAAAATAATGAGGATAGACTGGTCCCATAAAGCTCATTAAGTAAACTATTTATTCACAAATGAACTCCGAAAGCTCTTCAACATACAAAATAAGGTGAGACACACATCATAAAGGGAGTGGGAGGCAAAAGGACAACTGCACAGGAGGACAGAGATGAATCTCAAGCCAAAGGTGAGCAAACTGTGAAAGGCACAAAGATACACAGCAGGGCAGTAATGTGAACCTTTAACCAACTACTTCAGTAGCTATTTTTCAATATAAAATGGGCTTTGGAGACTACATACCTACAACTAGACAGGGTTGCACAACAGAATAAGGCTTCTTAAACAAATCACAAATACTTTCCTAAGGAACTGTGTTAGATAGAAAGTGGCTTTGATCATTAAGAGTGTATCTGGTCAAGAAGGGCCTAGCGAATCCCAACAATAAAACCCTTTTTTAAAAAAAAAGAAAGTAAATTCTACCTTGCAGAACATAAGGGGTGGGATCTAGTCAAAGACAATTCTTCAAAAACATTTTGAAGATTAGCTTTCCCAAACGGCAAATTTTGCCCTCTTGATTCAAGTGACATCTGCGTGGTTGAATACCCCACATTCCAAAGTCCAGAAGCAGAAAAAAGGTATGTTCCACGACTAAAGTTTGGTGCACCACCTCCTCTAGGAAACACCTAGTTTACTGGTGTGAACGCTGTACTTACAAAACAAAGACAAGATGAATGCGGAACAAAAGTGAAAAAAGTATCATTTTGCCTAAATCCCTACCAATCAATCAACTGTACATGTTCAGCGTAGGCCTCCCAAGTTGTCTTCAGCTCACTACCTCTTTATTTACCAGAAGGAACGGCACCTAATTTACAGGTTTTTAAGTTTCGATTTACAGCTTTAAGTCTCAAAGCAGCGTCCCATTCCGTCGTTACAATGGGCCGCTGTGACGACAGTAGGGCCACGCGCCGCAGCCCAAGAGGTGAGCCGCCCGGACAACTGCCTGCGGACGCTTCCCCACGCAGACCCGTCGTCCGCCGCCCCGCGGGGCTGCAGTCTCTAGCTCCCCGCCTCCCGCCAAATTACCTGCTCCGCTACGGCCCGGAACAGGCACGACCCGTCCTTGGCGACCAATTTCCGATACAAGCCCAGTTTCCGCAGATAGGCGTCCATGGGCGTAGAGTCTTCGCAAGGCCCCGCGCCGCCCTGGTCCCCGCCGTCTGGGGCGCCGACGGCCGCCTCCATGTTGCCGGTCCTGCTGCAGCCAAAGCGCGGCGCGGCTAGCCCCACATGGCCGCGCCGCCGGCTCCTCGGCGCCCCGGCCTAGGGCAGGCGGCGGCTCTGGCTCCGCCGGCGACGGCAGGTGGCGGCAGCCCAAAGCACCGGTCCGCTCTCTCCCGGCGCATAAGGGAGGCCTGCCTAATGCATGGCTGTCCGCACGCGGCCGCCTGTCCAGAGGGACCCCGCGCGGAAAGAACCGGGGGAAGAAAGAGAAGGAAAAGAAAAAAAAAGAGTAAGAAGTCACTTTCCCGTTGCCTTGTTGCCCGGTTGAGGCACTGGGCTGAGGGGTCGCCGCCCCTACAAGTTTGCTCGTCCCGACTGGTGTGAGGCAAGGAAACCCCGGCTCCTGGCGCGCGTGCGGATTCGGCTCAGGCGGAGCGAGGCCTATGTCGTCCGCGCACTCCACGCTGGAAGTCGAGGAAACCAAAAGAGAAAGAGGCGGCCTTTCCTTTCCCCACTTCACCGGAGGGCGCCGGAGGGGCGGGGAGCTGGAGGGGGCACCCGGGGGAGGGCAGCACCTTCGCAGCTCTGAATTTGTTTTCGCTTTCGGCCCGATAGCGGAGAGGACGGCGGGAGTTGTAGTTTTGGCAGCTGCAGGAAGCCAACTTGCGGCGGGCGGGGACGCGCGGGCCGGCCTAACCGGAGGAGGTACCCGGGAGGCACGCGGACTACGAGTCCCTACACTGCGGGCGCCTCTGTCGCCGCTGCTCACAACCGGCTTCCCGGGCACCGTGTCCGCAACCAGGCGCCGCCCTGCCGCTGACTGAGCCGCCAGGCCGCGGCAAGTGCGCGTGCCCTACGTGAGTGGAGTTGCCAGGGACACAGAGACGGCAATGTCGGCCCTTTGTGTATTTCCAAACAGAGGGCGCACCTGTCTGCTCCCCTCCCCCCGCCTGCTCCCCTGGCGTTTCCATGGAAGTGGCTTTAACGGCTTAGGCAGAAAATAGAGCTAATTGGCGAAGGCTTCTGGAAGTGGCAGCGTGCGGTATGACACACGCTGTCCATAAATCAACTATAGACTGCTGATTACTGTTAGAAACTAAAAGTACAGCTAGTTCATTCACTGTAGAAGATGATGCCTTCACCCGACATTTTTGTTCATCCTTTCCCTGTAACTGAGCACTCCGACAAAAAAATAAGTCACTGATTAGAAAATTTAGAATTAGCATATTTTCTTCTGAAAACAGTTCATCTTATAACTCCTTGATATGGGTTCTGGGAGTGCTTAAGGTTTCCTGCTCAACTTCCTACCAGCTGAGAATTGACAAAGCTAGGTAATGCTTTAGAACCCAGAATTTATCCAGCACGCTCTGTGACACCAGTATTTTATTTTTTCTAAAATACAACAGCTTATGGTATCCTTATTTAAATACATTTTTAATCATAGGAAGTACTCCCCTGTTGAGGTCATGGGGGGAAGGGTAAGTGGAGAATTACTATATAGGTTCAGACAGGTAGTCAGATAAGCGCTTTGGAATCAGCACAAGGTCAGCCAGGTGGGGAGAGTCCAGCATAAATCACCGAAAATTCTACTTTAGAAGTTTATACTCTATTCTACTTTAGAAGTCTATAAGTATTTCTGGTGCAGTCAATTAATTAGTTGTGCATTCACTTTCCTTGGAGCGCCTAAATTTGATTTCTTATTGTTTAAAGATTTTATCTCAAATTGTGCAGTTTTCAGAGAATACAAATGTTAAAGAAACTAAATGGATTTCCTTGTCCCCATATTAGTTTTTTACAAATGGTAGATATATAAGTATTTTTTAATCAGTTTTAGAAAACTAGTTTCAAGTACAACCTGTTGCTTTTCTTTAAATATATTTACATTGTGTATACTTCTCACTCCACTCCATTTTTTGAAAAATTGTCAAGTATTACAACTATTTACAACATACTATTTCCCTCTTTAAAACATATATATATACACATATATATATGTGTGTATAAATACACATATTTTATTTCCTCTCTAGGCTTAAAAGGAACATATATATATGTGTTCCTTTTAAGCCTAGAGAGGAAATAAAAATGGGTAAACTATGCAGATTAAAAACTGAATTCCTGAGAGTTCTGGCAAGATGGCGGACTAGTCAGAAACACTGCACAGACCCTCTTCAACAAAGAAAAGGGAAACCAATTAACACAGACATAGAAGATAATCTTGGATCTCTGAGCCTTGAAGGGAACGATATAGAAGTGGACCAAACCCCAACTAGCAGAAGAGTTTGCATGAAAATACCAAAAAAAGGAGATATACGGAACTGCGGTCTGGCAGCAATCCTGACGGCACAGACAGCTTGGAGATTCCCGAGTGGTGGTAGGACCTAAGAATTAACCTAAAAATCACCCTGCTAGCCAGGGACTGCACAAAGAACTGTGCACAGTGGCTGGGGAACAAACGGAGAAGGTGAAGAGAAAGGTGGGCTGAGCTGTGGACTTTTGCCATTCCGGAGGTTGCCACCATTTTGAAGGTTTTAAAAGCGGCTTGACTATTTTGGATATTTAAAGAGACAGCACTCTCCCAGATTCCTGGGGCTTAAGAACACGTTCTGCTTTCTAGCAACCCCAAGGCCACTCGGGACCTGCAAGACTGACAAGGTACAACATTCCTCTTGTTACTCATACCCCACACATGCTTGGTGAACAGAGGTGTAGCCATCCCCCACTCCCACCTGCCTTCTGGGCCAATAGGAGCTCCATCACAGTCTGTGTGCTCAGACGGAGCCTGGGTGCCCTGCCCTGTCCTCCACCAATTTTTTTTTCTCTTTTTTTATTTTTATTTTTTCCTTTTTCACTTTCTTTTTTTTTGGTGATTACTTTCCTTGTATCTGTCTGTTTTAAAATAGCTCATATTATTAATACATTTGTACTTTTTATTATTATTTTTAATCTTCCCCTACCTGGTCCTAGTTTTCAGCATTTTTTCTTTTCCCTGTGCCTAGTTGAAACTTTTTTTTTTTAATTTAAGGTTTTTTTTATTTCTTTTCCCCTTTTTTTCTCATGATTAACCCATTCCTTGTTTTTCTATTGCATTTTCCCATTGTTTTTTCTTCATTTATTATTCTCCTTCTGTCCTTTTTTTTTCTTAGTGTCCTATCCCCAGATATTGCAGGTTTTCTTGTTTTTTCTTCTTTTTTTACCTTTTTTCTTTTTTTTTATTACTGTTCCTGTGTGATTACATAGTGTGTTTTTCGTCCATGGACTTTTAGTTTTCTGATGGTTATTCAATTGTAATTTGTGTCTAACTGAGTGGGAGACAGCAACAGTCCCCATAAGACACAACTACACCCACACCTTCTGCAACTTCACTTGCTGAGCGAGAGCCACTACCTCCTTCTCCACCAATGGGCCAACAATAAAAAACCACCAAGAAAAGCCTGAATCACCCTTGGCTACTCTTCACAAACAGTTAACAGAGATCTAAATACAACAA